CTACCTTTCTTGAACATTTTTTAATCATATGAACTCTAAGTTTGTGCAAGGATCTAGAAAAAAATGCTTTTACTTTAAGTGACAAAAAACTTCTGGATTTCAAGGGAAAACAGGATCTTTAGAAAAATCATGTAGAAAAAGGAAATCTTGTACTGTAGTTTGGGTTTGAGGATGGGGAAAGATATCAGCAAATCTCAAACATTACTAAAAATCACTTTGAAGAACTAAAAACAAACTGATCGATATTTTTTCTACCTTTCAACACAAATGTTCACCTGGGTAAAGGGCCCTTTCTCTGAATTTTCACATGAGAACAAGTTTTCCACATGGATATGGTTAAAAAAAAACTAAGCGTAAAAAAAAAAAAAAAAAAAAAGATGGAAATTTTTAAAAAGGAAAAACTCAGGTTAACGACTTACTGTCATGATCATTTCACTATATTCAAAATAATGAATCATTCTATTATACATCTGAAACTAACATGACATCATGTCAATTATATCACAAAATTTTTTTAAAGATTTATTTTAGAGCCTCCCCGGTGGCACAGTGGTTGAGTGCTGCACTGTGAAGCTGTCCACAGCCTCTGCAGCACAAGTTCAATTCCCGGCTGGCCAGGGAGAAACCCACATGCCTTGGGTTTCTCCTGCCTCGCCCGCTGCTCCCCTCAGCAGTGTCTTTGGTCCATCTCCCTGTTCTGCTCCCCGCTCTCTCTGGTGAATTCTCTCTCCCTCCTGCACCTCTGACCTGTACCCCAGTTCTTGTATAAATAAATCTTTTAAAAAAAAAAAAAAGGAAAGAAAAAGAAAACGTAAATGATTTTTAAAAAAGATTTATTTTATTTATTTATGCATACAAGAGCTGAGGTATAGGCCAGAGGTGCAGAGGGTAGGGGGGTGGTGAGAGAATTCACCAAAGATCTACCAAAATATACTGCAGAGGGGAGCAGTGGGCGAGACAGGAAAGGTCTGCTGTGCCACATGAGTTAGCTCCCTGGCCAGTGATCGAACTTATGCTGCAATTGCTGGTGAAAGCTTGACAGTCTGAGACTTTTAACCCCAGTACCACCAGGCAGACCCCACTCTTACATTCTTAAAATAAGCTCTGCCTCATCACAACATTTTATCCTTCTTATGAGTAATCTGATTTTTTTGCATATTTTTTAAGGTTCTTATACTGCATGTATAAGGAAAAAATAGTGCATAATTTAAATATTTTATTTGAAATTATAAATCAATACAGATTCACAAACCCAGCCCTGCTATCAGAAGAGCTATACAGATGAATAAGGTATTTAATTTCTCAGAACTTAAGAGTTTCTTCTTCATATAGAATCATCAGAAGTAATTCAAATAGAATCTAGGTAAGTAGTCTTCACACTTCAGCATTCTTCAAATCACCTGAAGAGTTTGTTAAAAATTAGACTATTGAGCTGCAGTTTCAGCATTTCAGATGCCACAGGTGTAGGAAAGAGTCCAAGAATTTTTATTTCTAACAAAATACCAGATGAGGCTGATGCAGTTGGTTAAAGAATGACCTTGAGAATAACTAAGCAAGACTAAACCAAACTAACCAAATTTTTTGGTATGTTTTACATAACTGAGATACACTCACATTAAATAGATAATGGTGAGAGCAAGAAAAAAATCAATCTACCAAATGCAAAGTACACAGGACCAGTGTCTCATAAAGTGGTATGTATCTTTCAGAAGGGAATTTTCAAGATAATTAAAACAATAAAATTTGTTTTACATTAACTGTTCCTATAAAAATCCTTCTTAAAAAGCAAAATAAAATTCCATTTCCTTAAACTGATCCATTGAATTTAATCTTTTTTTTTCATTTCCTAGTTACTTTTATAACTATTAGCTTGCATCACAATAACCATCTTGGGAAATAGTAAGGAGTTTGTCCCTAAGCCAAATGTATTACGATTTTGAAGTTCTTCTATTTGTCTTTAATATTTTTTCCTGTTTAATATTTCTTGATGTAGGGCCTCCCCGGTGGCGCAGCGGTTGAGCGCTGGGTTGCGAAGCTGCCCGCAGCCTCTGAGGCGCCAGTTCGATCCCCGGCTGCTCCCCGGCCACCGGAGGAGGGTCCCACATGGCGCGCAGACCTCTCCTGCCGCCCGCTGCTCCCCTCAGCAGTGTACTTCGGTCCTTCTGCCTGCTCTGTTCCCTGCTCTGGCTCTGGTGAATTCTCTCACCCTCCCATGCTTCTGACTGTACCCAGTGCATGTATAAACAAACCATCAAACAAAAACAAACAAATAAATAAATAAAACATGCCTCTATAAAAAAAAAAAAAAATTCTTGATGTAAATCTTACCATACCTATCTCAAACAGTTCCCCTGGCACCCCCTGGCACCCCCTGAACTTTCTCTGCCTCATCTCCACATAATTCTCATTCAGCAATTAAGAAGTGCGTCTAAAAAAAAAAAAAAAAAAGGTTCCTATATAAATGAGTAAACCATGAGGAGCTTTGTTGGTGGTGACTCTTTTTGCTTTCTTTCTGAATTCTTAGTTTTATCAGATCTCAATAAGGGTATCCCCTCAAGGGTCAGCTGAAAACTTTTCAAGAATCAATTGATAGATCACCTTCCATATGTATTTTCCTTTTCCAAAACAGGCCCTCCCTTCTTTACCAAAAAGTACAATTCTCACCTCCACCCAGAATTTATGATACAATGCCTAGAGGTGTAGTAAATCTAGAGACCTAAGCAAAAGAACAAGCCAAAAATACATTGTTAGGGGGGAAGTTTCACAAATGATAATTGAGGTGTAATAAACAATCCACTATAGGGACTCATGTGTTTTCTATTCTTATACTCTACATTTTCATTAGAATTAAAAACAGACTATTTTGGCCCTTGTTTATACCAAATTCTGATATGCTATTATTTGAGGGCACTTCAGAGCAGTTTCTCTTTGAACAGCTTTCTTCTATCCCCACACATCTCACCATCCATGTCATATTATTCAAAAATGGATTACTCTCAGAAGAGAACCTTATAAAAGCAAAGGAGGTTTTAGTATATCTAATGACGAAAACAGATTTTTTCCAAGTATTTAAATGTAAGCAATTCTTGGTAATTCTGAAAAGTCATTTCTGGTCCTTAAAGAAAAAGCTTAAAGAAAAACCACATTCAAAAAACTGAAGCAGTATCAATTAAGGAGACTGATTCTTTTAACTATGAAAAATATTTTCCGGGCCTCCCCGGTGGCACAGCGGTCAAGCGCTGGGTTGTGAAGTTGCCCGCAGCTTCTGCAGCGCTGGTTCAATCCCCGGCTGCTCCCCGGCCACCGGAGGAGGGTCCCACATGGCGCGCAGACCTCTCCTGCCGCCCGCTGCTCCCCTCAGCAGTGTACTTCAGTCTGCCTGCTCTGCTCCCCGCTCTGGCTCTGGTGAATTCTCTCACCCTCCCGTGCTTCTGACTGTACCCAGTACTTGTATAAATAAATAAAAATAAATCTTTTAAAAAAAAAAATGTTTTTCCACGACTACCAAATTATTCAAATTATGCTACACAAAACCCATTAACCAAAACTACACAGAACTATTTGATTGAGTGTGCATTATTTAATGTGGTAGTTTAAACCTACTTTGTCAAGTCATGCACTTTTTATTCTAGTTAGTGAATTCTATCTTCTAAACAGTTTAATAATTCTATTTTTTTTAAGTCATGTGCTAGCTATGAGACCAATCTGTTCTTTGCAATAGGTATCCTTTTCCTTCAGTAATTATCCTAAAATAAAATTCATCCAGTTATTTTGGAAACATCTTTTATTTATACCTAAAAGCTGAATATCAGATATTAGAAGAGCAAGCACATAAATTTAGAAAAGGAATAGCATACCTTCTATCACATTTCTCACTTCATATTTTATTAATTTATAATGATGCAATGTAACACAATAGCATCCACTGAATTTAATCTTTTTCATTTTCATACTTTTAAAATTATTATAAAATTAGATTATAGGGGCCTCCTTTGTGACACAGGTGGTTGAGCACAGCACTGCAGAGGCTGTCCACAGCCTCTGCAGTGCAGTGCCGGTTCAATCCCCACCAGCCTCAGAGCAACCCACATGGCCAGCAGACAGACCTCTCCTGTCTCGCCCGCTGCTCCCCTCAGCAGTGTATTTCGTCAGTCTGCCTGTTCTGTTCCCCACTCTGTCTCTGGTGAATCCTCTCACCCAACCTCCTCTCCTGCCTATACCCCAGCTCTTGTATGCATAAATAAATAAATCTTTAAAAAAATTATGTTAAACAATAGCTGAATGTGAAATAATAAACATAATTCTTCGACTCTTCAAAAGATACAACCAACAACTAAATGAGAAAAAGACTGCAAAAGGGGCAAATTAGAAATCACTTAGTCATACTAAATGTAAATGAATTTCATTCTAAGAAATGAAGTTAGGATTCAAAGTTTGTAGTAAAGACAAAATGTCATTATCATCAAACCTTAGAAACTACTTCAAAAAATACAAAATATCCCATCAAACATTAAATTCAAAAATTTTGGAGCACTCAATGTATTTCTAAGATCCTCAGTAATTCTCTAATTTTCTCCCCAAAATATAGAAAAGCCATCACCACCATCTGCCTGGACTATATAAATTTTTACTTCTTACATCAATGGAATATCCTATAAATCACTCACTTCTTCCCATTGTTTTTGCAAGCAGGTACTAAGAGGTAACTGCCTCAAAGACCTGGTCACATTTCTATTAAGTGAACTGGTGGGAATAAATTGTGCTCTTGAATTAACAAATATACTTAGATGAATCACTGCAATGCTAGCATAGCAAAATGTAAAAGGCATGAAATATTTTTTATAATTTCACTGAGGTGTAAGACATACAATAAATTACACACATTGAAAACGTAATTGGATAAATTTTGACAAATACATACAAATTTGCTTCTTAAATTCCAATCCCCTTCTTCTGCCAAAAGGCTAACACAATTTTTATTAACTGAGAAAAGTACTTACTTTCATGTAATTCACAATCTTAGCAAGAACGCCAAACTTATATCCAGAGCTTCCTGATAGAGCTTTCAAGTTAAATGATCCATTGCTATGATCTGGAAATGAGGTTCAAACAATTACATGTCATATTAGATGTGATTATGACTTTTAAGCAATAAACTTTTTTAATTCTGGTCAAATATTTCTTGTATGAGTTTTTCTATTAGGTAAATTGTTTACTGTGAAAATTTGGTGAAAAGCAAAAAAATTTGAGTAAACTATCAATTTTTTCACTAAGGACAGGAACAAAAATATAACTCAAAAAGCATTCAAATATATTTCTAAATATCTTTATCTCACCATTTTCCTTAGTCTTGATAAGATTTCCTCCATAATTAGGAGCAAAGTATTTTAAACACAAGGACAATACAAATCTCAATCTGATCCGTAGAACTTCTCTAGCAAATTTAAAACCATGACTGGATACTTACAAATGATAAAAAAGTAAAATTATCAATTATTACATCACTCTCCACTTATCAACTTAAAACAAATGAGAATTAACTCTAAGAATGATACCATAACTATTTCAAAGTAAACTTTAAACACAAGCAACATCACTGTACAAACATTGGAAACTTAAGAACAATAGCATGAAATGAGCAATCTGTATAGAAAATAATCAGAATGTCTATCATTTGGTTGCATACTTTAGAAATCCTAATACTGCCACTCCATCATAAATTTTTCCATTAGTCATAGGCAAGAACAATTTAAAAAATTATACTAGAAGAACATTTCAGATGTACACATTCTATTATTAGCAAGGAATCAGGGTCAAATACTGTAAGGTTCCCAAGCAGCTGATTCACAAAGAAGAGGTAAAATAAAAGAGTTGATCTAGGACACCAATTTGGTAAAAATTTAAACTAAAGAATACATTAGAACCACAAGTCAAATGTAACAAATGTCAGAGATTAAAAAAAAACTTCTAAATAGCAACTTATATTCCTTTAAGATTAGTGAAAAGATTTTACTGAATATATTTTTTGAGACTTCACATACAATTTTCCTTCAAAGATAACTTTGTTGGGCCTCCCCAGTGGCGCAGCGGTTGAGCGCTGGGTTGCGAAGCTGCCCGCGGCCTCTGCGGTGCCGGTTCGATCCCCGGCTGCTCCCCGGCCACCGGAGGAGGGTCCCACATGGCGCGCGGACCTCTCCTGCCGCCCGCTGCTCCCCTCAGCAGTGTCCTTCGCTCCCTCTGCCTGCTCTGCTCCCTGCTCTGGCTCTGGTGAATTCTCTCACCCTCCCGCACTTCTGACTGTACCCAGTGCATGTGTAAACAGAACAAACAAACAAATAAATAAATAAATAAACATGCCTCTATTAAAAAAAAAAAAAAAATAGAAAAAAAAAAAATCAAAGATAACTTTGTTACAATTTTGACAATAACTTAATTGGTACATTACAGTCAACTTTACTAATGCCTTAACTGAGGAAACCGTCCCCCAAATAGATTCAAATTTCTTATAGCAGTGAGAGATACTCAAATTATGGTGGAAAGAACCAGTATCAGTAGAATTAAAAACTGTATGTAAAAGGAAAAAAAAAAAATCGCTTTCAAAAAGGAAAGGTGACATGTTGTATGAGTCCACTGATATGAATTGTTCAGATAAGCAAATCCATAAAGACAAAGTAGATTAGTGGTTGCAGGGGCTGTGGGCAGGGTGGAATGGGAAGTGACAGCTTAAAAAACAATAACAAGAAAGATGTCTTACAATGTGCTTTCACAATATTTTAATTACATCCATTTTGAGCTGATTTTTGTGTGGGGTGTAAAATAGTAGTCTAATTTCATTCTTTGAGAGGTGACAGTCCATTTTTTCCAGCCTCATTCCAGTGTATATCCTTCGCTCCTTTGTCATAGATTACTTGACCATGTATCTGTGGATTTACTTCTGAGCTTTCATTTCAATTCCACTGGTCTGTGTTTTCTGTTTTTTGTTCCAGTACCATATTTTTATTATTATGGCTTTGTAGTATAGTTTGGAATCTGGGAATGTAATACCTCTGTTCTTCCTCTTTTTGGTCAGGCAGGCTTTAGCTTTTGGGGGTTTTGTGATTCCACATGAATTTTAGCAATATTCCATTTCTTTGAAAATGTCATTGAGATTTTTATTAGAATTGTATTGAATGTAAAAATTGTTTTGGGTTTTTTTGGCCATTTTGATGATGTTGATTCTTCTGATCCACGAGCATGAAATGCCTTTCCATTTCTTAGTGTCTTCTATTTCTTTTAACAATATTTTATAATTTTGCTAGTATAGGTCTTTCACCTCCTTTGTTGGTTTTATTCCCAGGTATTTAATTTGTGGGGAACAATTGTAAATGGGACAGTGTTCTTAATTTCTTCCTCTTCATACTGACTGTTTGCATATAGAAAGGGTACCTTTATTTTTTAAGAAGCAATCCACTTTTTTTTTTTTTTAAGATTTATTTATTTATACAAGAACCGGAGTACAGGCCAGATGCATGGGAGAGAGAAGATTCACCAGAGACAGAGCGAGGACAGAACAGGCAGACTGACGAAATATACTCCCTGCTGAGGGGAGCAGCGGGTGAGGCAGGAGAGGTCTGCTGTGCCATGTGGGATTCTCCACCAGCCGGCCGGGATCGAATCCTCACTGCAGAGGCTGCGAACAGCTTCACAGTGCGGCGCTCAATCGCCTGCGCCACCATGGAGGCCCGAAAGTGTACTGCTTTTTGTGGACTGATTTTGTAACCTGCTACTTTACTGAACTGGTTTGTTTTAATTAGTTTTTCTGTGCATTTTTAGGGTTCTATGTGTAATCATATCATCTGCAAATAATGATAGCTTTACCTTTTTTATTTCAGAGATAAAATACTTGATATGGTTCATATTCCAAGGTGCTCAGGACACACATAACAATAATAGTAATTAACATTTATTTAATGTTTACTATTTGCCAGGCTCCATGCTAAAACATTTAAACCCTCCCAAAAATCCTTCTTAGGAGGTATTATTGTTCTTTTTTAAATACAAGAAAACTGAATGCAGTTAGTGGCAAAGAAATGCTGCCCTATATATCACAACCTAGCCTTTAACACAGATTAACTCACAAATACAATTTAATGTTTTCTTACTCAACTTTAATAAAATAATATTAAGCGTACCCTACAATACTATTCAACTAAGAAAACCATGAAAAATTATGGCAATATGTTAAGACTAAGCACAGTACAATTGGTCAACCATAAACCACATACATGGAGTCTCCAGCATTTAACTCAATGCCAAACATAGTTAATACTCAATATAGTTAAATGAATAAACACAATGAGAATATTTATAAATACCCTTTTATGACCTCAGCAACTTTAAAAAATGAGTCTACATAGTAACCATTTAACAGGCCTCCTGCTGTTATAGTAGCCACTCCCATAATTTTAAAACTTGATTCTATTTTGCTTATACCATAACTCTAAATAATATACAGTAAGTAACAACACTATCTTTAAACATCCAACATCCATTCTTCTACCATTTAAATTTCAGATGGCTTTTTTAATGCAGGTGGTGTAGCTACCAAAACAAACCCTCTCCCAACATAATCAAATGGGAAACCTTATTTTTACTCCCTCAGAATTTCTCCTAAATCCAAGGACCACATGGAAATAATCACTTCCAAACAGCAAGCTTTATATAATGAACAGTATAGAAAAAAAAAGAAAACTTCATTTATGAGAATTTATGCACATTTCCTGGTGTGAACTGCTTGTTTCCTAAGTTACTAACCTCTTTTGATATTATTTTCTAGCCTTAGTACTGAAATATTTACTGCAGAAAGTAAAATTTTGAAGTTAAACATTGAGGAATCATCAATGTATTACTATCTACAAGTTTCTATGTAGTAATTAAGTTTAAAAACAAAAAATAAAGAGAGGTGTGGGGGTGACAGTTGATATACCAGATAGCTCTATTCAAGTTTATGAATGATTTACTCTTAAGGGAGCAGGACTTAATGCAAATGAATGTAGAGGAAACTGTCAGCTGCACTGTGCTTCAACCAATAGAAGCACAGCTCCATCTTGGCTGTGCACCAGACTGCGTTACAAACAGACGATACCATCACTTCAACAGCAGCCTTTCAGACAAGAGGTAGGTTTTATGAGCTTTTTCATTTAGTAATGCATGTCCTTCTTAGGCGTTATGAAAATATTTTACCATAAAAAACAAGAAAGCTTTGTTCTTACTGAGAAACAAAAAAAAAAGCATTATCTTTATTTCATTGCTTGATAGGATTTTATTTAAAAATATAAAGACTGCCTTGCATTATTTGATAAGCACCTTTATCACCTATGTCTTAATGGAAAATTCATGGCATTTTCTATGAACCTGATCGATATCCAGACCTTAGAGTAAACCATAAGCACTGGATGTTAAGTGGTTACTGGTTAATTTCATTTTCTCTGCGCTATTTCATTTCAGCAGTATCATCTGCCTTAACAAAGGATTTTTCTTAAAGAAAAACCTAGACTAACAGCAAAGCCTGGAATGAAGCTTTCTGATTATATGTGCAAATTATGCTAGCTGATAAAAAGCAGATACTTATAAAAGAGTCTGTTATATTTTAGCAAATACAAGAAAATAGTCCAAATTTTTTTTTTTACTTTGGGTGCAGATGCAGAGAATGTTGAAGGATTATGACTTATGATTTTTATATAAAAAGACCATAAAAGTATTATGTAGGCTGCATTACACTATAAACAAAGAGATCATTTTTACTGCTTCAGATTTAGCTAACATTTTAATTAAAATAACTCCTTATGGTGAAATGTTAGTCTTTATTACTGTAATATATATTACACGTCATGCTTTTATTAAATGAAAACCTGCTTAAATAACCTTTCATTTTTTTGACACAAAAATACGTATTTATCACAGTATTTCAATGTAATGTTAGTTTTGATCCTCAAAACAGTCTTTTTTGATAAACTACATTTAAAAATTGAAACAGATCCTAAGAATTAGGGAGGTAGCATGCACCTTTTGAGGTATTATGATTACTTTCATGGCTGAGAATCATTCATGTCTACTAAAATTAGTTTCAACTGCTGACTAAATTTCTTATTTTAAATACTCAAGTGTAAAACTACCATTGTTTAGCAAATGTTAAGGTTCTAAGATATTACCTATACATATTGACCTAAAGTTCCAATTCCTGCCCTTTTCTTTACTGGTAAGTTTATACTTTAAAGGATTTTTCATAATTTTTATTCCTTCTATTTCTTAGCAGCATTCAGTTAGCATGAGCAAAGTACCCCTTACAAAATCCAAATGTTGTTCTATGAAGGAATTAGAGCTCTCCAGTTTAGCATATTAGCTTAATTACCTAGAAAATATTCCTGCCTGTAATACAATGTATAGAGTCCCCAAAAAAAATCTCAAGACAAAATTAAAGTAACTTGTCAAATAAAGCAAAGAGCTGTAACTCATTTCAGGTAAACTAAACAGAAACCCCTACCATTCACACTGTTTTAACAATGTAATTGCCTACATTTTATTTATAATGTATTTATAGTTACATTGTCCTTTCAACCAAACTGTCTGAAGGCACAGAGTTTCAGGCCTGAGTGAATTACTCCGTATTTAAAGGCTATTATGATCAACAGATCATATTTCCAAGTGATATGCTTAAAGGCACTAGGGAATTCAACTCAAGGGCTTTTATCATAAACAGAGCAAAAGCATAATTTTATTCTGATCTGGCAATTCAAGGTTCAAAGTCCTACCTTCATAAATATTACATCAGGGCTTTTTTAAAAAAGGAGGGAAAACAGATGAAGGAAATATATCTAAAATGACACACAAAGTAAAATATATATACATATATGTCTAAGGAATACTCTTATCAAATATCTCATATATATGTTATTTACTTAACATTTCCCATTCCAGTAACCCAAAAAAAAAAAGTATAATGAGCTGTTCTTTCACTTTATCAGTATTTTCTCTTATTCTTTATAAGGCAAGTTTACAGCATTTGCTTGATTTATATTGTAATTTCAAAAATAGAGTTGACTATGAGAAGATCCTGTTTATGATTTTCTGCATGTCTAATTATGTCTTATCCATCCAAGTAAAATTTAGACTTTACCCTAAATTTAGCACAATTACTAGAGCTCTACTCTACTTCAAGAGAATAAATCACATTAAATTTAGGGTCAAAAATGACTTTATATGACCTGGTTTACTTTTTTCAGATATGCCCAGAAGCTAACTAAAGAGTGAATGCTTTGTGTGATTCATCAGTTATCAATACATTCATAAGTGACAACCTGTCATCATTTACAACACAAAGCTGACATGTATATACTGTCCTCAACTGCTTAGAAGCTTCCACCAAAACTTAAGTGCCTTTCATGGTGGTATGAAACAACTATCCTGAGTCATTACTAGAAGCATAATTATTACAGGCATATTTTTGTGTGGATAAAATATACTATCTCATCAAAAGGAAAGTGTTTACTAATCCTCATTTTAATTTTTAAGAATTTATTAAACACTCAATAAATATATCAAATAGATGTATTTCACAATAGCCAGAGGCTAGCAAAGCTTTTTTTTTTTTAAGATTTATTTATTTATACAAGCACTGGGTACAGTCAGAAGTGCTGGAGGGTGAGAAAATTCACCAGAGCCAGAGGGGGTAACAGAACAGACAGAATGACGAAATACACTGCTGAGGGGAGCAGAGGGCGCGGCAGGAGAGGTCTGCTGCGCCATGTGGGACCCTCCCCTGCGGCCGGGTATCGAACCGGCGCTGCAGAGGCTGCGGGCAGCTTCGCAGCCCAGTGCTCAACCGCTGCGCCACCAGGGGAGGCCCTAGGAAAGCTTGTGAAGCACATTGATTGTGAATAAGTAATATATTCAAATGGTTCAAAAAAATCAAAAGAATATAAGGTATATCTTGATAAATCTCATACATCCCTACCACTGCCAATCTACTCTTCAATCCCACAAGACATAATTAGACATAATAATTATGCTTCTAGTAATGACTACCGGTAGTAGTTTCATAACACCATGAAGGGCACTTGTAATCATAGCTGTGTCTTGTATATCTCCTTCCAAGATTTTTGTGCAGATAAAAGCTAATAAAAATATATATTATTTCCCCCCTCTCTATAAATATTATCCTGTACCATGGTCTTTTCATTTAATAATATATACTAAAAATCTTTCCTTATCACTACTTTATTTATGCATAATGTTCAAATGTGTGGCTCTACAGTACAATTTAACCAGAAGAACAGTTCAATGATATGTATAACTTAACTTCAAATTATTTAATTTAACCTGTGCACGCCTGCCTGCGTGTCTGCCTCTAGTGATCTCCCACTCCATCCCTCCTTCTACCATACCTCTAATTTAATAAGGTTGAGGGTACCTAAAAATTTTTTCGGCCGTTCACTTGTACTTCAAATATAAATAGAATATGAAGTTCTTTTTTTAAAAGATTTATTATTTATACAAGCACTGGGTACAGGTCAGAAGCACGGGAGGGTGAGAGGATTCACCAGAGCCAGAGCGGGGAGCAGAACAGGCAGAACGAGGAAACACACTGCTGAGGGGAGCAGCGGGCGGCTAGAGAAGTCTCCTGCGCCATGTGGGACCCTAGCCCGGCAGCCGGGGATCGAACTGGTGCTGCAGAGGCTGCAGGCAGCTTCGCAACCCAGCGCTCAACCGCTACGCCACAGGGCAGGCCCTAGAATATGAAGTTCTTTAAACCAACTTTCTAATCAACTAAAATTTCAATTTAAAATAATACCTTACATTAGTCTTTACAAGTCTCCCTAGTTTTAAAAATACCAACACAAATTTTTTAAAAGTTATAAGAAAATTAAAACACAAAATAATAACTTCAGTATAATTTCAACCCAGTACAAATTTTTTCCTACAAAATATCTCAGGGAGGGCCTCCCCGGTGGCGCAGCGGTTGAGCGCTGGGTTGCGAAGCTGCCCGCAGCCTCTGCTGCGCCAGTTCGATCCCCGGCTGCTCCCCAGCCACTGGAGGAGTGTCCCACATGGCGCGCAGACCTCTCCTGCCGCCCGCTGCTCCCCTCAGCAGTGTACTTCGGTCCTTCTGCCTGCTCTGCTCCCCGCTCTGGCTCTGGTGAATTCTCTCACCTTCCCGCCCTTCTGACTGTACCCAGTGCTTGTATAAATAAATAGATTTAAAAAAAAATCTCAGGGAAACAGAATTAAAGGTAAAATCTTTTTATTTAAAATTGCTATATTGTGGACTAAACTAATAATGTGGACCAGACTAATTTGAGGTGTATAGTGTGGAAAATGCTTCACTCTACCTATCATTTTTCCCCCCTGTAATCACCTTAATGCCAGATTTAGAAAAGAAACCTTCAGAAGAAATATCCAGATTTTAGAAAGGAATTATCCTGAAAAATAAAGTCTTAATAGAAGGCCTAGAGAATATTTTTATTAATGCTGGAGAGGTTCTAGGTTAGCCCAAATAAAAATATTAAATAGACCCTTAAGAAACTTTTCCTGATCTTTACCTACCACAAGGTGCTACTCACACTCCTCTCCTCCCTCTCCTCGTTTGACTATGCTTTTTAAAAAGAACTTGAAGCTCATTCACATTGAAGTAAAAATAACTGCAACAGTGTTTATTACCCCTCCCAGGAATATCAGACTTTGAGTAGAGCTAAAAATCTTAAAAGAGGGCTCACTGACTGCTGTGAGGCACAGCAGTGGGAGTGCATGGGCCCAGAGATCCCCATCGTCCCAGTACCCCCCATGTGGCTGGACCATAAATAACAGGTGGTGGCCAGTGGTGGGGCTGGCTGCACTCTGCTCCCTGGGGGCAGGTGGGGAGACCCCGGAAGCCCCTCCAGAGTCATGGACCCAGAAACGGACATGGTCCACTTTTTGGTTAATGCTGCTGGCTATGCCAGCTTTATGGTACCTGGCTACATGCTAATGCAGTACTTCAGGTAGAAGAACTACCTGGAGACAGGCAGGGGTCTCTGCTTCCCTCTAGTAAAAACGTGTGTATATGGCAATGAGCCCAAGGCCTCCGATGAAGTTCCCCTGCTACCTGGACAGAGCTTACAAGAGACCACCCCAACTTGGCAGGCCCTGATTCTGCTCTTCTATGCCATAGGGCTCTAGGTTATCTTACCTGATTTGGGGTATGCTATAGGAGAGATGACCCGAAGCTATGGGGACACAGCCACATAGCCATAGACACAGTACCTGGTGCTAATGAACCAAGTACTTGCACTGATTGTGGCTGGTCTCTACTGCAACGTCTTCAAGCATGAGGCTCCCATGTACCAGTACTCCTTTGCTAGCCTGTCATATGTGCTTAGCAGTCAGTGCCATTACGAAACACTCAAATTCACCAGTTTCTCCACTCAGGTGCTGACCAGGCAAGGCCTCTAAGGTGATCCCTGTAATGGGAAAGTTGGTGTCTTTTTTTTTTTTAATTTATTTATTTATACATACAAGAGCTGGGGCACAGGCCAAAGATGTGGGTGGGTGAGAGGATCCTCCAGAGACAGAGTGGGGAACAGAACAGGCAGATTGACCAAAATACACTGCTGAGCAGTGGGCAAGACAGGAGAGGTCTGCCGCACCATGTGGGTTTCTCCCTGCCCAGCCGGGGATCAAACTCATGCTGCAGAGGCTGTAGATTGTTTCACAGTGCGATACTTAACCCCTTGCGCCACCAGGGAGGCCCGAAAGTTGGTGTCTTGGTGCACTACGAACACTAGGAATATCTGACAGCTGACCTTACCTCCAATGGGTCAGCATGCTTCTGCTATCCAGAAGACAAGAATCTCGCAGTTGCCTGGCCACCAATCTCAGGTCTCATCCAACTGGCAGGCTACATTGTCTTTGTCATTTTAACATCAAACTGGAAGGATGCCCTGTTTGCCTATAAGATATCATCAGTGCAAATTATGTGAAAAGCAATAAAAATTTAGTAAACGATAACTTTTGGGACTGATTTTGGTTTTTTTTTTTTTTTTAAATATTTATGCCCACAGGTCATTTATGTACATAAACATTAAGACTATCATGTACATGGGCCTCCCCGGTGGCGCAGCGGTTGAGCGCTGGGTTGTGAAGCTGCCCGCAGCCTCTGCGGCGCCGGTTCGATCCCCGGCTGCTCCCCGGCCACCGGAGGAGGGTCCCACATGGCGCGCAGACCTCCCCTGCCACCCGCTGCACCCCTCAGCAGTGTACTTCGTTCCTTCTGCCTGCTCTGCTCCCCGCTCTGGCTCTGGTGAATTCTCTCACCCTCCCATTCTTCTGACTGTACCCAGTGCTTGTATAAATAAATAAATAAATAAATAAATCTTTAAAAAAAAAAAAAAAAAAAGACTATCATGTACATAACAAAAGTCCTAAAATTAGGGTCTCCTCTTAGGCAACTTTAACCTGAAATTTCACTACTGTTATTCTGAAAAGTTGTCATTATTTGTCTTTTGTCTCCCTCTACTACTTTTCATTGAGCAATCATTTCCTGATTCAGCTCACCTGTCCTTGAGGATTAACAGCACACAAATAAGTGACAGAAATACATTGAACCAAGAAGGTGAGAAGGATCAACAAGGCTAATGAAAAAATCTTTTCTAGGAGTGGCATGAAGAACACAATCTTAAAATGCTAAGATTTTTTGTAGATAACAAGTCAGTGGCCACTTTAGTAAAATTTTAAACCCATTCAGCTGCCCATTCCATTCTACTAGCAATTTCTGTATATAAATCTGAAAACACATACTTGTCTAAAAATCATATGCATTAGGGCTCCGCCAAGGTGCAGCAGATTGAGCGCAGCACTGTGGAGCTGTCCGCAGCCTCTGCAGCGTGGGTTCAATTCCCAGCCCTCCAGGGAGATTCCCACATGGCGCGGCAGAACTCTCCTGTCCCTTTCTGTCCATCTGCCTGTTCTGTTCCCCACTCTGTCTCTGGCGAATCCTCTCACCCCCACTCCTCTGGCCTATACCCCAGCTATTGTATAAATAAAATAAATGAATAAATCTTTAAAAAAAAATACTTTGAAAGGTAAAATTTAAAAAAATAAACCACATGCATTAAAAAGTACATATAGTATGATTTACACAGTACATTGGCATAGATACAGAAAATATTCAAATATACCATTCAGGTTTTTATTCTGGCAGAAAATAACAAAGACTCATGCTGCTAGCCATATAGATTTACTAACAAATCTTAGTTCTGAGATTTAAATTGGCACATCTGTAGAGTTTGGTCACATACATTCATTTTTACCTTTTTACAGATTCAAAAGAGCAATACAGGAAGTGGACTCACTAAGGATGGCCTCCTTGAGCTCCAGCCTCTGGAATGAAACCACTACATCTGTTTATCAGTACCTTGGTTTTCAAGTTCAAAAAATTTATCCTTTCCATGATAACTGGAACACTGCCTGCTTTGTCATTCTGCTTTTATTTATATTTACAGTGGTATCTTTAGTGATCCTGGCTTTCCTTTACGAAGTACTTGACTGCTGCTGCTGTGTAAAAAACAAAACTGTGAAAGACTTGAAAAGCGAACCTAATCCTCTTAGAAGTATGATGGACAACATCAGAAAACGTGAAATTGAAGTGGTCTAGCATGTTACATCAGACGAACATCTTTGAAAGCAACCTTCAACTTCTGAGAAATAAGAATTTTCTGAGGCCAACTCAAACTTTGAATAGTTAAAAAATTTCTACTAGAAAAACAAAATGAGTTAAATGTGCGTTTTCTGTGTGTATTCATTAAACATACATTAAAATTTCATAAACATGAATAATTTATCAGCCTATTAAAATGACACTTCAAAAATTGGATAAAAGATTCCTAGAACTTAATATTAAGTAGCAAGAGGTAAACTGGAAAACATAAACATACCTAATGATGCCATCGAAATAAATCAGGTATAATATAAATGTAGAAGAAGAGTAGAATCCACCATATGTTTTGGTAATCTAAATGCTATTTAGAATGCCTATCTAAATCCAAAGTAAAATACTTCTACTTATAAAGGTATTAAAGAAATGGCAATGTTTTCTGAAGATAATTTACACTTTTTTTAATAACTAAGTTTTATGTAGGATAATTGTGTGGGGACAAAAAAAAAAGCTCAAAATACTCAGGAAAGTCACAAGTATATCTGAATAAATGTTCATAAAACTGACTTTATCTGCATAAATGTTCATAAAACTGACTTTGTGTTTAGTAAGAAAAACATGGTCTAAGAAGGGCTAGACTATTTTTGAACAGAAACTTAACTAGCACATCCCCTAAATTGCATTTTTGAGCTTGTTCTTTCATTTTGCTTATCATATTCACATTCCAAAGGGCTAATATACCCAATGCAGAAAATAGTAGGAAAAAAGTCAGTGGAAAGGACCACTTAACACTTGTTAGGAAATATTAGCTTTATGTCTTGGAATTCCAATGAACGTACAAATACATTTTTTGACCATAAAACTAATATGCTACTACCCCCAAGCAAACCAAAGCATGCTCTTATCTACTATACTATACTATCTTTAGACCAGTAATGTCACTCCAAGAAATTAATTCAAAAGAAAAAAGCTCAAGATACAAAGATGTTTGCAGCAGCATTACTTAAAATAACTAAGATTGGAAATAACTAAGCCTTTAACTAAATGTGGTACATTAATGTAGTGGATTATTTTTAAAATGACTGAAATTTATGGCAAAACAAAAAATATCTGAAATGTGAAGTAAAAAATTCAGAACATTTTAGTACAATTACAGATGACATAGCTTAGTCAATAATATAGTAAAACCTAAAAAGAACTACAGAAAATTTAAAATAGCTGATATATTTAGGGGGGAGGGCAGAAAACAATGCTAGAGATTATAAAGAACATTTTTATCTCTACTGACAGAATAATCCTTTTTTAAAAGATTTATTTATTTATTTATGCATACAAGAGCTGGGGTACTGCCCAGAGATGCGGGGGGGGGGGGGGGGGGGGGGAGGGGGGCGGTGTGAGAGGATTCACCAGCAACAGAGTGGAGAGCAGAACAGGCAGACTGACTGAAACACAATGCTGAGGGGAGCAGCAGGCAAGACGGAGGAGTCTGCATCGCCATGTGGGTTGCTCCCTGGCCAGCCAGGGATCGAACTCATGCTGCAGAGACTACAGACTGCCCCATAGTGCGGTGCCTAACTCCTTGCACCACCAGGGAGGCCCTGACAGAATAATCCTTTTACAATAACTAACTGTGGTGATAAGAAGACACCAGAAATCTGTCATTTTCAATTTACAGAACCCTAATTGATGGTCTAAAATTGTTTTCCACAAAATTTTTATTTAACTTTATAACATTAGAAATAAACACAAATAATGTAACCAACTTTTAAAGGGCTGCGAAACTCAGATATACAAGATAGACTTTGATAACCAGGAGTTATTTTGAGCATGATTAAAAAACATATTTTCACAAACAGTAAACTTAGAAATCCTTACCATATATATTTATTGCAGCACTACTTACAATGCAAAGAAAGGAAAACTATCTAAATGTCCCAAAACAGATGACTGGATCAATAAGATATGGTATATACACAGTGGAATACTACCCAGTGATCAAAAAAAGATAAACTCGCGCCATCTGTGGCAACATGGATGGAGCTGGAAGGGATTATGCTCAGCGAAATAAGTCAGAAGGAAAAAGTAAATATCAGATGGTTTCACGTTTCTGCGGAATATAGAGAAACCAAACAAAGGGTTAAGAAAAAGACAAAACTTGCAAGCTGGGGCCTCCCCCGGTGGCACAGCAGGTTGAGCGCCACACTATGAAGCTGTCCACAGTCTCTGCAGCGCAGGTTCCATCCCCCGGCCAGCCAGCGAGAATTCCATATGGCAAGGCAGACCTCTCCTGTCTCGCCCACTGTTCCCCTCAGCAGTGTCTTCAGTCCGTCTGCCTGTTCTGCTCCCCGCTCTATCTCTGGTGAATTCTTTTACCCTCCCACGCCTCTCACTGTACCCCAGTTCTTGCATAAATAAATAAATTAAAAAAAAAAAAAACAAACTTGCGGGGCCTCCCCGGTGGCGCAGCGGTTGAGCGCTGGGTTGCAAAGCTGCCTGCAGCCTCTGCAGCGCCGGTTCGATCACCAGCTGCTCCCTTGCCACCAGAGGCGGGTCCCACATGGCGCGCAGACCTCTCCTGCCGCCCACTGCTCCCCTCAGCAGTGTACTTCAGTCCTTCTGCCTGCTCTGCTCCCCGCTCTGGTGAATTCTCTCACCCTCCCGCGCTTCTGACTGTACTCAGTGCTTGTACAAATAAATAAATAAATATTTAAAAAAAAAAAAAAGAGGGAAGAAGTAAGGAAAAAATCTTGCAGGAACAGGAAATAAGGAGCAAAAACCCAAGAGGCAAAAGAGAGTAAAGCAAGTTAGAAGAGTTATCAGTCACATCATTAGGACAGAGGACACAGATAACAGTGAGGTATGGCCATAAAAGAGAGAACAGAACAGGCAGGCTGCAGGAAAAGATGGGCTTTATCTGAAAAGTTTATGATTATCAGCCTTAACCAGAGTGACATCAGATTTATGTCCAGAAAAATCAGCGATAGTTTTACCAAGAATGGACAGGAGAAAAGCTGAATCAGGAGCTCTGGTAAGCAGCAAATCTGATAATCCAATGATAGTGACCTGTAGTAAGGGGACATGGTAGTCTGTAGTGTTTACACTCAATAGTTCCAGCTCTCCTCTTTCTGAGCACATGGTAACACTGTAGTTAGGAATCCTTTTTGGCTAGGTACAGTCCTGTAACTAGCTCTGCTAACAAGTTATGAGTGGAAATGATGTGTGTCACCTTAGGGCCAGCAGGTGCAGGACCTTCAAGTTCCCTTTCCCCTCTAGCCCAGATATTAGGCATATTTGAAATATCAGGTCTCCATAGCCTGAGCCTCGAGAGACTATAATGAGCTGAGACCCATGTCAAACCATGATAAATATGTGGTATGAAAGAGAAACATGGGGCCTCCCTCATGGTGCAAGGGGTTGAGACACAACCTATTAAGCTGTCCACAGCCACTGCAGCACAAGTTCAATCCCCCTGGCCCACCAGGGAGCAACCCATATGGTGCAGCAGACCTCTCTTGACTCGCCCTTGCCCGCTGCTCCCCTCAGCAGTGTACTTCAATCTGCCTGTTCTGTTTCCCGCTCTGTCCCTGGTGAATCCTCTCACCCCCCACGCCTCTGGCCTATAGCCCAGTTCTTGTATGCATAAATAACTAAATCTTAAAAAAAAAGAAAGAGAAACAAACATTTGTTATTTTAAGCTACTGAGATTTTAGGACGTTCCACAAAGTAGCTTATCCTATTCTAACACTTCCAAGAATAAGTGTGGTCAACCAAGAAAAGTAATGCCTATACAGGCTTTCCCTGTTGTTGAGATCTGCTCTTTGTGAAGATGAAATTCCCCACTCTATAGTCAAAACTACAAATGGCAAAGATATTCTTAAGCAGGTCTAAAAGACCTGGTCTAGGAGTGACACCGTGCTTTAATGTTTACAACAATTTAAAAAATTTTGTTCACTATAATTCAATATAAACTACATAGGAATGAAAGATAATCAAGCTAAATTTATATGGTAATAAGAATGATAGCCCTACTTTGGTAAAAAGACTAGCTCTGCTTTAACATTAGTTAGTAAAACAGCTTGAAGAACATCTTAAAAAAAATCACATTAATAAAGATTATTATTGGGCCTCCCCGGTGGTGCAGCGGTTGAGCACTGGGTTGCGAAGCTGCCCGCTGCCTCTGCAGCACCGGTTCGATCCCCAGCTGCTCCCCGGCCACCGGAGGAGGGTCCCACATGGCGCGCAGACCTCTCCTGCCGCCCGTTGCTCCCCTCAGCAGTGTACCCCGGTCCTTCTGCCTGCTCTGCTCCCTGCTCTGGCTCTGGTGAATTCTCTCACCCTCCCGTGCTTCTGACTGTACCCAGTGCTTGTATAAATAAATAAAATAAATCTTTAAAAAAAAAAAAATAAAAAAAAAAAATAAAGATTATTATTGCCACATTTTTAAGTAGGCAAATAAATTCTGTTGTGCCTTAAGTTACACTGATCTTGTTGTTTAAAAGATAACAGTCTGGGGGCCTCCCTAGAGGCGCAAGTGGTTAAGTCTCAGCACTATGAAGCAATCCGCAGCCACTCCAGCATGAGCTCAAATTCCGGCCAGGGAGCCAATCCACATGGTACAGCAGACCTCTCCTGTCTCATCCACTGCTCCTCTCCACAGTGTTTTTCAGTGGATCAGCCTGTTGTGTTCCCCACTCTGTCTCTGGTGTCTCCTCTCACCCCTTGCACCTCTGGCTGGGGCTCTTGTATGCATAAATAAATCTTTAAAAAAAACAAAAGATAATAGTATAAAAATAAACTAGACCCATAATAAGCAAGTTAGAAATAGTAAATACAGCAGTGGAAATAATATTTTGTGTGTGTGTGTTTTTAATTTTTAATTTTTTTTATTTTAACAGGAAATAATATTTTTAAAGGGAAAAAAAAAAAATCAATGAAACCAAAAGTTGGCTTTTTGAAAAGATCAACAAAATTGGCAAACCTTAGCAAGAAAAAAACACAAATTCCTAAAATTAAAGAGGGGCTT